TGTACATCGTTTCTCAAAACATTTTCTCTCCATTTAAACCCCCGACATTAGGTCCTCATTTTTCCCCTCCCTCCCTGCTCCCCCTCATGGAACAATTTTTAAGAGGGGCTGCTAACCACGCCAGTGGCTCAAACCTACCAACTGCTCTGCGTGAGAGAAAGTTGTGACTGACTGCTTTCACAAGGATTTACAGCCTGGAAAACCCAATGGACAGTTCTTCTTTGTCCTGTAGAGTCTCTGTTAGAGTTGACTTGGCAGTTTTGTGTTGGGTTTATGGCAGCATTGCATAGTAAACTGTCTCATTTGACAAAATTATATTCTATGCTTTCTTTTTCTTGCTCTGACATTAATATGCACTGGAAATAAGAAAAATAAAATTACTCGGTGAAGTGAAACAATGTGTATTGTAGCATTAAAGTGTCCATAGACAGTAAGAAAACTAGTGCGCATGACTGTTCTAGCAAAATGCTATTTGTGGTCATTTAAAACTATGAAATTGCATATACTTTTCATATTACCAAAAGCAAAATTTTTTATTTTTTTGGCATTCATTCATTTCAAAGCCAAGCATGAGTGGTCCTGTACAAAAACAGTCTGCTAGCCATGCTTTGCTGGCTGTAGTCTGTGAGTCTGTCATTCTAAGTGATGTTGTAAGGAGTGATGATGGTGTAGTAATTTAAGTGTTGAGCTGATAACCCAAATGATTGGAGATTAGTACACTTTCCACCTGTTCTGTAGGATTGGAATCCCTCAGGAGCAGCTTTACCCTAGAGGGTTATTATGAATCAAAATTGACTCAGTGCCAGTGGGTGGGTCTTAGTAGTGTTCTTAGACTCTAGTGTGTTGGGGAAATGAATAGAAACTTACAACCTGACATAATAGGAAAATGAATAAAGCTATTAGATTTGTAATAAAAAGTATCAAATCATTTTAATCCTGATTAAGCTACACTTCAGGAAGAACTGATGAGGAATGAAAAGGTAATGAGTTGAGTATACATGATGAGTTTGAAAGCATATTAAAATTTGGCTGTAAGTTGAACAAAAAAGTAAGTGTTCTCAAGGAAAGCTTGCCTTACATCCATAGTAGAGTCATCACGTATAATGAATTTCATAAAACTCAGAAAAACACAAAAAATAGCAAGCTCTTTGCACATTAACTAATTTGTCACAACAATTCTATGAAATAGGCACTTTTCATAATTTACAGATGAAAAAGATAAGTATGAAATTAATTAACTTGCCCAAGACTGCATAATTTTCTTAGGCTTGAATTCTGGAAATACAGTTCTAGTCACTGTATATTCTCACAAATGCCATTTCTCATAGTTTGATGTGATTGCGTTATAAATACAACCTAAACATTTAAAATTATAAGTACTTATGAGCATTTACTTGATCTGTGGAGATCATAATTTAAAAATTCTTAGTTCAATGATATGGATTTTTATCTGCAGTTGCTAAAATTGTACATAGTAAATTTTAAAGCATTAGCTTGTGTTTATATACATTTTTCTTAATATGTGTTTTCACTTGGAAACATTTTCAGCCAGTATGTTCAACACACCAGGAATGCAGAGTTTGTTGCAACAAATAACTGAGAACCCACAACTCATGCAGAATATGTTGTCTGCCCCCTACATGAGGAGCATGATGCAGTCACTAAGCCAGAATCCTGATCTTGCTGCACAGGTGAGCTATGATGTTTTAAAAAGAAGTGTGTAGTGTGAATAATCACAGTATTGGCTTATTTGTTATATATGCAATCTTAATACATGAGAAATGTAAGTAACTTACATTTTCAATGTCTTGGACAGTTTGTCTTTCTAGTAACTTAGTTCACCTACTCACAAAATCACTCACTGCCTAGAAAGACCACAGACTGACTTTTTATTGTTGAAAGTTTTGAATTGTTTTCCTTTTAAATGTGCATATTTAGTGAAATCAGGAGTCTTGACCATCATTAAAAAGTGTTAATCTATTTGAAATATTTTTTTATTGCTCACTTAAAATTTGAGATATAATCATGATCAAAATGTAGTTTGAAATTATTTATTGAAGGTAGAGAATATATTTATGGGAGTGTTTATTTTAACTCTTAAAACATTTTTCCTCTGAGTTTTAGTTTATGCTGATTTGTTAACAGGAGCCCATAAATCAAACTCACTGCCATAGAGTGATGCTGATTCCTAGAGACCCTATTGGAGAGGGTGGAACTGCCCTGTGAGTTTCTGACACTGTGACTGTCAACTCCCGTTTGTAGTAGTCACAGTAAGAATGCCTGTCAACAGAGCTCAGTCTTTCTTTTGTGGAGTGACTGGTGGTTTTGAATTGCCAATATTATGGATCACAACCCAGCATGTAACTGCTATGCCACCAGGACTTCCAGGAGCCCATAGCTAAGTAAAATAATGGATCTTTAACATGCCTACAAATGTTAAAATCACTTGAGGAATTTAAAAAATAATCCTCTTGCCTGGCCCCATCCTACGCGACCCCTCCTCTTTCTAGTTTTCTAACTATGTTTCAGTGACCTGAGAAATCTTGATATAATTGCATTGCTTCCTCCTTCCCCCACCCAGTTCCATGAACTGGAAGACCCATGAAGAATATGAATTAAGCCTTAATTGTTTGTTATTTATATTTACTCTTTTATTAAAATTAATTTCTTTGGTGTCGAGGAATTTTAAATGCCTTCCTTTATAAAAGTTTATGCCCAGCTCTAAAATATGAAAAATGTTTAATCTTTTCTTTCTTTCTTTTGAAAAAACTATGTTAAAGTAATTAGTATTTCTTTTCTAAACTCTGGAGCCACATTGATACAAGTACATAGCAGATGTCTTTGACATATACTCCTTATTACTACTCAAAATTTGTGGAATTGAAAATAATTAAGTTTTTAGAATTTTTTGCAGCCTTTTAATGATAACATATTTTAGTTTTAAGATAGATTATTTATTCAGAAGTACCAGATTTGAGTCATTAAATTTAAGTGCAGTTGTGAGTCATTTTTGACAATGAAAGAAATGTTGCATTTATTTAAAATAATGAAAATATGTATATAGAGTGAGCCTATTTGTTTTTAAATGTATATTTTGGGAATAGTATTGAATGTACATCTTTAAAATTTATCTTCAGAAAGCACATTGCCAACCATATATAGTAATAAATTTGATTTGTGACATTACTTGATCAATTTTACATACTGTTTTTAGTGTAAAACAAAAATTGATAAAGCTAGAATGAATGTTTTGTCTACTTGGCATTTAGAAACTTACATACATGAAAACTGCATTCTTAGCAGATTAAAGTTTGTAGCGTTGACACAGTATGTTCAATATAAAATCAGGCTCAAGGCTAATTATTTGTGATAGTGATAGGTAAGGTAGAAAAGAGTGAATATGTTTGAGATATGATGCTTTTTCTCTAGACTATTGTTAATGATATATATCCTGAAAGATAAATGTGAGAATTTCATTAATATGCTCATAATCAAGAAGCATGTGCCTGGAGTCAATAAAGAAGCAGGTTTGTTGACTTTAAAGTGAGTATTATTTACTTATTGTGCACTTATGTGGCACTCTGAAATAATTACTATATATCCATAAAACATGTGTGACTTTTTCCTGCTTTAATAGTTGTACTGAAATAATTGGATGAGCCACTTCCCACTCAACAGTAAGTGAAGTAAAAGAAGAGATATTCACTGGTTTTTGATTTTTGTATACAATTCCTTTAGAATATGGTTGACTACTTGAGGTCTAGGATTACACACTTACCCCCTTCACCTCTACCCCTACTCTAGCCCTGGACTTTGGACAGATAGTTAGGCTATCAATAAATCATTGTTAGTTGATTCTGAACTCTCTCTGGGGGAAATTCCTAAAATTGGCCTTTTTCAAAGCTATGAGAATTTATTACTTTCTGGTTGATTTTGCTTTTTAAATTCATATACCTATATAAGCTAGGAAACAATGCCACTTTTCTCATCTCTGGTGGTGGTAGTGAGGTGAAATTCAGGTGATAATCTTGATGTTCTCCAGTGGATTTAACTCTTTTAGGTCTTAAAACTTTTAGCTCTCTCTCCAGAGATCTCTCACTGCTACTTCCGACTTATCTCTGCCTACCAACACCATTTCTCTAGCAAGTTGGTTGCTGTCTTGTGTTGTTATTTTTTGGAGCAAATATTTGCTTTCTTGTAGTAGGCAGGTAGATGTATTGGTTCCCAATCTGGATTTTTTTTTCCCTTGCACTTGCGTGTGGAGATTTAAAAGCAAGCCATGTGTCATTTCATGTACTATTGTTGAGGTGTTTATATTGTCGGTGTGGTGGAAAATGTATCCTCATGAATATCACTTACTCTCATTTTTCTTTAAAGGCTAGATACTCACTTTTGCTCAAGGAAAAGCCTAAGTACATAAATGCTTTTTTTTTTTAGGATATTGCATGCCATTATCATAATCACCATTCTCATGGAGAGGAGCCTCACTTTTCCCCTAAGATTCCACGTATGGACAGTATCTTCCTGTCTCCTTTTTTATTCATGTTCTACTTTCCTCCATTTTAAATGCCAAATTAGGCACTTGGGGGAAGATAGAATATTAAACAAGGTACATTACTTCAGCTATTTCCAGTAAAATTGTTTGAACACTTGCCCCATAGATGATGCTGAATAACCCCCTATTTGCTGGAAATCCTCAGCTTCAAGAACAAATGAGACAACAGCTCCCAACTTTCCTTCAACAAGTGAGTAAGAAAAGATGCCAGCTATCTTTGGTAATGATTTGCTTGAAAAAGTTTGATAATAACAATTTTCTTGCTCTTCTGACTGATAGCAAAACAGAATAGAGAGAGATAATGCTGTCAGTTTGATCTTACTGAACCCATTTCACTGCTCAACTTTTGCTTACCGTACATACTTGTTTATAAGCCGAGTTTTCCAGCACATTTTTAATGCCGTTTTTGTGGTAACATTAGGTGCCTCAGCTGATATTTGGGTTGGCTTATACTTGAGTATATACAGTATATTTCTTTTTTTTCTAGCTTTATTATGACTTAAGTGAAGGTTTGTAGATCAGATCATCAGTTTTACATTCAGCAATTGATAACACCTTTTGTTCCATTCATTGTAATCCCGTCAGCGTACCATCACTTGTTTCACCTTCCTCTTTGTGTTTTCTATTTCCATTTCTCCTCCTCTCCTTACCCTTGGTTCTTTGTCGTTGGGTAAATGCTGCCCTTTTAATCTTAAATGATTGATTATTATTATTCACAGGTGAGTTATGTTTATGTCTGAGGGTTACAACCCTAGTCTTAGGTGTCTCACTAGCTCTCTGTCTGACCAGTAAGCCTGGTCTCTTGATTTTGAGTTTGCTTTACATTTTCTTTCCACTATATGCAGGATCTTTTAATGTATACCTTTCAGAGAAGTTGGTAATGGTAGCCAGGCACCATCTACTTCTTCTGGTCTTAGGTGTTCATTAGTTCATTAGCTATTTCTTAATGCCCTTTCATTACTCTTCTTTCCTCTGGATGGGGAGAGACCAATAGTTGCGTCTTAGATGATTCCTCACAAGCTTTTCAGACCCTAGCTGCTGCTAATCAAAGTAGGATGTAGAACTGTTAATACCAATTTAGCATCCCTGGAGACTAACTATCCTTAGCCCCGTGGCACAGCAACTCATTCCTTCGATATGATTGGTTACTTCTAAGTTTTGTCCCTTGCATGTCTCACCACATTCACAGATATACGGTTGTAAAAGTAAACACACATATACCGATACTCTCTGTGAAATCTAAGTATATTTGCAAGTATACTCCGACTTCCCCTATACCTTTTTAACCTGTGTCTAAGCTTACAGAGCACCACAATTGCAGGATTGTGTATGTAAAAGTATTTGCTTATATTTCCTAAACATTCAATTTGAGGAAAAAAACCATTTTGATTTTACTTTTGAGGACTTGGAATTTCGACTGCTTTGTGTTAATATTATATTTCCTTTTACTTTAATATGTTCAAAGTGCCTCATTGTGCCATTTTATGCATTATGCTTTAATCTCTGGTAATTGGAAAGAGCTGCCCTATCCTATGCCACACATTGTTAATTTGGGTAATGTTTTAATTTTCTCCAAATCATGTCAGTTTTCCAGGTTATATTTCATTTCCTCAGACTTGTAATTAGTAAGAATAAAATGTCAGTGTTGTCTTCAAAGGAAGGTTGTATTGTAAATTGGGGATTGCCGTAGTACTTGATTATTTCAGTACTGAAAAGACAGAAGTCAGACTTGGTGCTTTTGAAGCTGGGTAGGTAGTTCTAGAGCAGGGGTCCTCAAACTTTTTAAACAGGGGGCCAGTTCACTGTCCCTCAGACTCGTTGGAGGGCCGGACTATAGTTTTAAAAAAACCTATGAACAAATTCCTATGCTTACTGTGCATATCTTATTTTGAAGTAAAAAAACAAACGGGGCAAAAACACCCGACGGGCCAGATAAATGTCCTCGGTGGCCCGCGGGCCGTAGTTTGAGGACTCCTGTTCTAGAGCTTTGAAATACTATGTAAGTGAATCTCATGCCTGTGGACCATTAGTCAAGGTTAGTTAGTGTGTCCCTGATTTATTGTAATAATGTACACCTGTCCTTCTTGTTCAGGTAGCTGGTATATATTGGAAATGGTGAAGTTAACTAAGGATGTATCCAAAAACCAAACTCGGTGCCATTGAGTCAGTGCTGACTCATTGTGGGTTTCTGAGACAGTAACTGTTTGTGGGAGTGGAAAGCCCTGTCTTCTCCTGCAGAGCTGCTGGTGGTTTCCCATTGCCAACCATGCAGACCACAGCCCAACACATAAACACGACATCACCAGGGCTCCTGACTAAGGAGATAGCTTCTCAAGTTGGTAACTTATTCTATCAAATGTGCGTTATTGATAGAATTCCTATCATTTGGTTAGGAGGATTATGTGACTTTCACCATGTTACCATAAGCGCGCGCACACATACACACACACACGAATATGAATGGGGTATTTGGAAGTTGTGTGTTAAGAAGTAATACTTTTTGTCTTCTGTTAGTGAAGAGAAGCAGTTTGGGGTTCCAAAGTAGCTCCTGGTTATTAGAAACTGGCCATCGTGATAGATTTTGGGAGGAGCTCAGGACTGACCTGTATTTATTAGATTGTGTCAGAGAGTTGTTGTGTTTATTTGGGGGCCAAGTTCTGGATTAGCAATGCCTAGAAGAAGTTTTTAGATTGTCTCCAGAAAAGTAGCAAAACAAAGATGGCAATTTTAACATTCACGCATTTAATTCTTTTGTAATCCTGATTTTCTTTCCTTGGTAGATGCAGAACCCTGATACGCTGTCAGCGATGTCAAACCCTAGAGCAATGCAGGCCTTGTTACAGATTCAGCAGGGTTTACAGACGTTGGCCACAGAAGCCCCTGGCCTCATCCCAGGGTAAGCTGATTTTGGAAGATTTTGCCAGTTCATGTTACTTTTGCTCTCCCTGCAAATTTCCGATTTAATACCATTCTGCCTTTTTTGGTGAGAATGTTTTTATGTGAGAATATTCAAAGGTTCAAATAGTTAAATATGTTATATTAAAATGTAACTGGTCTGTCATCTGGCCTGCCCTCTTGCTCTATGTGTGTTGAGGTGTAATGCTTGTGCTTTCTGCAGGTTTACTCCTGGCCTGGGGGCATTAGGAGGCACTGGTGGCTCTTCTGGAACCAATGGATCTAGCTCTGCACCCAGTGAAAATACAAGTCCCACCGCAGGAACCACCGAGCCTGGACACCAGCAGTTTATTCAACAAATGCTGCAGGCTCTTGCTGGAGTAAACCCACAGGTGATGATTCCTTTTTGTTCACATTTCATATTCTTTAATGTTAGAAGAGTGAAAAGAAAGCATTTTTATCGTTTAGGAGCAAATGCTACAACTTCAGAGACAATTTTTATTTTGAATTAGGTGAAGGTTTAAAATAGCACAACTTTTAAAAACAGTTTGATTGGCACACTATCCACATTTCAGACAATTCAGTAGTTCTGTCATATCAAGAAGAGTTGTACAATCACCACCACAATCAATTTTAGAACATTTTCTTCTTTCTTGTACTCATTGTTATTAGCTCCCTGTTTCCCGCAACTACCCTTGACATGCCGCCAAGAAACCATTAGTCCAGTTGCACTCTATAGATTTACCTATCCTGGATTTCATATATAGAAAAACATATAGAAGAAAACTAACAACAATAACAAAGTAATACAAAAACAACAGTCGAAAAGAAAGCAAATCTAAAATGGGTCAAAGGGGAGATTAAATAATAAGATATTAAATTCTAATAACGGCACCTGCAATAATCCACTTTGCAGTGTACTCTGCATGGTAGCTACCATTTCTAGTAGATGCTCAGACTTAATCCATAGGCACACTACAACTTCTATTGCCCTTTTGAGAATAGTTACTTTGAGAATCCACTCTTTGTTTTTCAAGTCTTTTGGAGACCCGTTTAAACATTTGAAATGATTTGTTTAATAAAAGTTTGTCAGGAAAGAATGGAAACATATCCCAAATACCTCTAGAATGTTTTTCTTTATTCTAAGCTATATTCTAGTCTTTATATTTATATCTACAAAGGATCCCTGGTAGTGAAGTGGGTTATAAATCTGCCAGCTGCTCTGCTGGAGAAAGACGCGTGTCCTGCTCCTATAAAGAGTTAAAGCCACAGAAACCCACAAGGGCAGTTCTATTCTTCTGCAGGGTCACTGTGATTGGAATTCACTTGATGACATTGAGCTTTACTCTTTATACAAAGATGATCCCACTGTAACAGTAAACATTGAATAAACTTAAACCTGTGATAATAGCTTGGGCCTAAACTTTGCCTGACAAAAAGTTGTCAAGGTCTTCTAGAATGCTTTCTCGTTTCAATCTTTAATTAAATACAATAAACAGCGCTCTTTGGTATTCTCCACATAGAACACAGCATCTGGCTTATTAGGTATTAATTCCACATATTTATGGAATTAATAAAATTATATTGGTCAGAATTAATTACTACATAATTTGAACAATTAATCAGATTTTCCAGGATTGATAAGTTATCTATGTGTTTTTGTCTTGCCTCATTTGTTAAGGATGATTTTTTGCAGTTGAGCTGTCAGGATTAGCAGTGTAGTTTATGGGCTTGAAATTGGAATTCTTCTCTGAAGATTTAACTGACATTGCAAGACTTGATCTATATTCTGTACCATCACTAGGGAATCTCTAGTTTACAGCGGTTCTCAACCTGTGGGGTTGCGGTCCCTCTAGGCGTCGAACAACCCTTTCACAGGGGTCGCCCGATTCATAACAGTAGCAAAATTACAGTGATGAAGTAGCAGTGAAACTAATTTTATGGTTAGAGGGTCACCACAGCATGAGGAACTGTATGAAAGGGTCGCGGCATTAGGAAGGTAGAGAACCACTGCTCTAGAATGTTACATATGAGGACATTGACTTTTATAGTTAACCAATTTATCAATAATTGTTTTTAGTTGCCATGGATTTGATTAAATTAAATAGATCTTATTTCAGACTATATGCCAACAAACTTAAGATTTCTTGCATTTTTTTTTTTTTTGGGTATATTAACCTTTTTTTGTTTTGTGTTCGCTTTGGTGTGATTGTTGTAACTGGGTAATTTAGAATAAAAAATAAAGTTCTCAAATATAACGGTTGTGACCATGGTGCAGAATCAGGCAGTATTCTGTTCTGTTGTACGTACGGTTCCTGTGAGTCAGACCCTAACAACAACAGTGCACTTTTAAAGTTATTGAATATATTTTCTGAAAGAAGTACATTTAAAGCTTAGTAGGCTAGCATTTACTATAAGACACTTAAATAATTTAAAGCTAGATAGGTGTGAAATGTTAAGATTTTCCTTAAAGTTTCTTTCCCCCCTTTAATAGTTACAGAATCCAGAAGTCAGATTTCAACAGCAACTGGAACAGCTCAGTGCAATGGGATTTTTGAACCGTGAAGCAAACTTGCAAGCTTTAATAGCGACAGGTGGTGATATCAATGCGGCTATTGAAAGGTTACTGGGCTCCCAGCCTTCATAGCACCATTTCTGTAACTTGAAAAAAATGTAATTTATTTTTGATAACGGCTCTTAAATCTTTAAAATACCGCTTTATTTCATTTTGACTCTTGGAATTCTGTGCTGTTATAAACAAGCCCAATATGATAATTTTTAAGGTGGAGTATAGTAAGATGTGTGGGTTTTTTCAGTGTGTGTTTTTTTTCCTTTGACCGGTGGGAATCAATGCGTTTTTCAATTAAGGCTATTGCATGTATCAAACACTTCTGCATTTATTGTAATTAAAAAAAAATCTGACAGATAATCACCTTTTATAGTCAGGTGAACAGATTTTGTCCTGCATCTGTCCAATTTATTTGCTTTTTAAACATTAGCCTATGGTAGTAATTTATGTAGAATAAAAGCATTAAAAAGAAGCAAATCATTTGCGCTCTATAATTTGTGGTACACTATTGCTTATTGTGACTTTGGCATGTATTTTTGCTAACAAAATGCTGTAAGATTTCTACTATTGACAGGTTTTTGTTTAATTTGGGGGTGGGTGAGTTGCGTTTTATATGTTTTGTTTGTATACAGCATAATAGTCACATTTGGACTGCATTTCCAGACACTGACTGCAGTAGCTATATGAGCAAAACATCTGTAGGCCAAAAAGGGAGACTGGTTAAGGAAATACTTTCAGCTGAGTATTACCTAATTGTGTAGAATCTTACAGCATCTTTGATAAACATCTCTCTGCAAAAAAAAAAGTGCCAGTTAGGTTTGTTGAACATACAATAGAAAAGTTGATTCTGGTTATCTTTTTAAGGACATTTAGCTGTACAGAATGCATAACGTAACACTGTCTCAATGATGTAAATTAATCTTTGTGCAGACTGAAGGGGCGCTGTAATAGACCCAAAAGTGGATTTGCGTAGGATTTTCAGCTTCTCCCATAGGTAGTTAAGCAGACATTATGATCGTTAATGTTGCTTTCAATGAAAATGTCGTGATGCTTCAGTTCTTTCTAACCACCATATAAATAATAGAGCTATTTTTTGGGGTGTATCAGTTTCTCATGCACAGGAAAGACATGAGTTTAAAAATGATTTGTGAGCCACCTGTTTCTGAAGTGTTTGGGTAGTTCTACTAAGAAGTAGTTAAATATAGTGATTTTCAGAGCCTCAGAGAAGGGATATTTTGGGAGGGGTGGGGGGAAGTCGGCCCTGGATTGAGCTAGTTTAAATAATACTGGCAACCAAGATTCTGTTAGGCTTTCTGTGCATATAGTATAGTTAAAGAAATATCATTCGAGGTGAAAAACAGAGCCGTGTTAACAATGTTGAGTAACATTTGGCTGTTCTGTAGCCTTTTCCTCCTTTTCCAAAGAAGCTCTGTTTACTAACAAACTGTTAGGGTGGTACATTCCTTTAGGACCAATTAAAATGTAATTTGGGGGTCAGTAATATATTTGTCTGACTCGTTCAGTATTTGCTTAGGTCATTATATTCTCTCATGTACAGTCACAGGACGTTGAAATGTTAATATGAGTTCTGATCAATAAAATCAAGGGATACACAAGTTTTGAATATCATTACTTCTGTAAATTGCTTGCTATTGAAAAAAAAGTCATGAGGCCATGTTACCTGCCCGTCCATGCATTGTTCTGACACTTTACTTAGGAGGAAGGTATGTATGTACAAAGGTCATTATGGAGGCATGACTAAAGTTAAAGGAAGATGTTCACTTATCGTTGCTCTTTTCTGCCTTATGCCTCAGTCTGGTTTAAAAATATGTGTACTAGGAAATGGTGGTCTAGAGTGTGGGATAGTGTCATAACCAATTTGATGATTTATTAATCAGAAAGTAACAATAAATCTCTAGCTTTTACACTTGGTTTGTCTTGCCTCATTTGTAGAATGAAAACATTACCTTCAATTTATTTTCTTAAGCCATGGCTTTTAAAGGCTACTGGATTTCTGAGGTTTTTATCTTGCTTTAGATGATTATTTTTCGAGCTTCCCTCCAATTAAAATGTGCTCCTATACTGTGGCATTTTGATGTGGTGTGTTAAAAGGACAGCTAACTGCAAAGTTAGATGACTTGGGTTTTGCTTGCTTGCTTTTGTACCTGACTTTGGGCAAGGCCTCATGCTTCTTATGTAAAATATGCTGATAAAAATTATGCAGCGTTCTCCACTGGGAGATTGCTTAACTCCATTTCAGCGCCTAGAGTAGTGTGGTTTTGTTGTCTGTTTCTAATACTTAGATTTGAATATGTATGTTAAAATAAGTTCAGAATGTTTAATATTAAAACACTTTAAAGCATTAAAAAGACATTTAAAGTATGGTAGACTAAATTTGCTCTTATATTCAGTTCTTTATTAGAAACAATAAAGAATGGAGTGATGAAAACAGCATTTTAGCAATTTACTTCCCAAATGGAATATATGTGATATTAAGTCAAGTGTAGCAAATACTGAGCAATCAGATAAATGACAGCTGTCCCAAATTTCAAGTTGGCTTAAATATTGTAAAGAAAAGGATGCTTTGTTGGGGAAGACGCAGGGTATCTGCTGTTGAGTTGACAGTGGTGACTCAGAACAATAGGATGAAAGACCATCTGATCACTTGCCTTTCACAAGACTGCCAGCATATTTGACTTCATCGTGGGGGCTCTTGTGTCAGTCCCTCTCACCCAGGAGCCCCCTTTGCTTTTGTTGCCCTCATCAAACATGAGGCCCCTCTAGCAATTGGTACCTCCTCGTGATGTGTCCGAAGCAAGTGAGTCAGAAAATGTTTTGGGTGAGATATCAGATGTTCTTTGGAAGCTCTGCTGAAACCTGTCCACCATGGGAGGACCCTTACAGTATTTGAAATACTAGCCTTCAGAATCAGTAATATGTATGCCACCATAGTATGCAAATTGTAAATTTAATAAACAGATTATGACCAGCTAGAACAGGATGGGTAAAAAACCAAGCTATGTGTATGTACCTATATTATTTGAATGGGGCTTTATATTCATGAAAGGTAATGGGATTTTTTCCATCAAAATTTTGAAGCTCTCATAGAATTTGTGTTATGGCAGAGAAATGCAGTATCTCTCCCTCCCCGCCCACCCTGGAATTTATCTTAAGTTGGCTTATATGAGGGGCTTCAAAAAGTTTGTGGGAAATCCCATTGTCTTTTTATTTCAATTTTCCCACAGGTTACTTGGAGCTTAAAGAATAAAACCTACCATTCATTCTGGGTTCAGTTCTGCAAGTCTTCTTAAACTGTACTAATCCACAATGATTGGGACATGTACAGTGGTTCGCACTCAACTGCTAACTAAAAGGTCAACAGTTCAAACCCACTAGTCACACCATGGGAATTTGCCTTCATAAAGATTCTAAGTATTGGTAGTTATGTGGGATCACGACGGGGGTTTGGTTATTGAATGCTGTCTGTCTTAGTTCCTTAAAGTATGCTGCTATTGAATCAGTTCAGGGGCATGGCCTTTGTGTACAGAGTAGAACTGCTCTTTAGGGATTTGGAAAGAAACCTCCATGCCAATGTTCTCAGATGCCTCTTGGATTTGAGTTGTTAACCTTTGGGCTAGTAAGTGGTCAAATGGCTTAACTGTGCCATTCACCAACTCTACTGAAGGCATAGCAGTCAGTAAAACAAAAGTTTCTCCTTACAAATTAGAGTTCAGGAATGAGATAAAACTAGGGAGAGACAAATAAAAGATGTAGTCTGAATGAGAAGTGTGATGGCAGGAAAGGAAGTAGGCAAGGAAACTAGCTCAGGAAAGGGGTGTTCTTTATATGGGACACTCATTGATAAGGTGACGTTTGAACAGACTATCTGGCGGAGAGGAACAAGGGTAGAAAAATCTGCCAACGTGAGCCTGTTGAGTATTTGTAAAACACAGGGCAGTGTTATTAGAGCAAGGTAGGACCCTAGGAGCCATAAAGAATAAAGCACAAGCATGTTTCTATGGAAAGGTTGTAAAGATACATATTTCTAGGCCTCACCCTCGGTTTCTGATTGACTAGTTCTGGAATTGGAGAATTGGCATTTCTTGCCAGTTCCCAGACAAGAACCATGGAGTAGGCATCCAAATATGGGGGTAGAGAGACTGTTCGGGCATAGTAATCCAGGTGAGAAAGATGGTAGGGTCTTGAATTGGTCTAGAAGCAATGCAGATGGTAAGTAGTCAAATTTGGAGTGTGCTTTGAAGGTAGAGCCAATAGGATTTACTGACGGATGGATAATTGAAGTGAGGAGTAAGGAGTCAAGCAAGGCAAAACAAAAAAAAGATGAACTATGAGAAAGTGTAAATGAGAAGTTTAGTTTGATAAAGGACAAGTAAGTAACACTGCAGATTCTCAGGTATTGAGACATTTACAGCTGTTGGTATGTATTAATGCAGTCAAGGTACTAGATAAAGTCAGTGGTTCTCAGCTGGGAGCTCTTTTGCCTCCCACGGGGCTTTTCTCAATGTCTAGAGCCCACAACTGTTAAACATCCTACAGTGCACAGGGCAGCCTTTATAATACAGATTTATCTAGTCCACAGTGTTAGGGTGCCGAGGCTCAGAAATCCCTAGCTCAAGGATTTCAGGCAGGAACTGCTAATAAGACAGACTTTGGGAGGAGTGAGCCCTGGTTCTCTCTAACATCTTGGTCAGGGCAACGAAAGAAAACCAGCACCGGAGAGCGACAAAGAGACAGACTGGTTAGGAAAAAACAAGGGAGAGGTCCTGAAATCTAGTGTGAAGATAACATTCAAGAAGAAACGTGATCAACTAACTGTTAAATGCTACTTACTGTTTCAGGTGCCCACCGTAGATTGAATATTAGTTCTTGGGTGTAGTAAAAAGGGGACCTTCATGAGTGACTAGGGCTTTATAGAGTGGTAGGGGTAAAATTCTGGTTGGCGTGGATTGAGGTATCAAGAGCTACAGGATTTTGAAGTGAAGAGATTAGAGAAGTAGGGCAATAACTGCAGAGGCATAGTGGATATGTGGGCAAAGAGGAGGCTTAAAGTTCTTAATGATGGAAACTACTACAGCATGGTTGCATTCTAATGGAAATGATCAGTGCGGAGGGAGACGACTTGTACAGGAGTTGGAGTGTTTTAACCAGAAACATATGGCTAGCCTTTGATCCCCACATTGGCTTGTGTATGTTTACATACCTTAACTACATGAATTGTAATACTAGTTTTCTAAGGCTCGACATAATTTATGCCATGTTCTAAGAGTTATGTGGGGTTTTTTTCTTCCCTGAATTTAAGGGGAGGAGTCAGAAGCTCTTATCACTCAATGAGAAGAATGTCAGAATTGGTGACTACTTTCCATATGCTAATTAATGTCTTTTGTTTCTTTCATTACAATTCACAGTTCCTGTGTTTTACATTTCCATATCTCCTCCTTTCGTGGTGGTGGTGGGTGCCATTGAGTTGGTGTGACTTATACACAGATTGAAAACACCTTAGCCTCAGAGTGACATTCTTGCTCTGTAACACCTGAAAGAGATCTTGTGCAGCAGATTTGGCCGATGTTCTATGTTGGTTGATTTCTTCACTACTACTTCCTTCTCTGCTATCCGTTCTGAACATTGCCCTTGCATAGCTGCTGCCCTTTGGAGCTCAAGTGGTTGATTATTCTAAGCTGTGTGTTCCTCCCTGATGTTCCTTTTATGGGCTTCTCTGTGGTTTGGGTAGGAGCCCGGTTGTATCGTGGTTAGCAATGGGCTGTGTACTGCAAGGTCAGCAGTTGGAAACTACCAGCTGCTTTCGGAGAAAGAGGAGCCTTTCTACTCTTATAAACAGTTAAAGTCTCCAACCCACAGAGGCATTTCCAATCTATCTTAAAAGATTGCCACGAGTTGGCATCAACTAGGTGGCAGTGAGTATTTGGTATTGTTTGGTTGAAAATTGAGCCGTGAAGGTAAGTTCATTTCCACACCTGTATGGTGACTAAGGGCCATTGTACTGGGGATGAGGGTGGTGGTGGGCACCAATTCCTATCCAACAAACAAGCCTGGTGGTGGGCACCAATTCCTATCCAACAAACAAGCCTGATCCTTTTTGTGATTGAATTTTGTTACACATCTCTTTCTCACTGTATCCAGAAATTATAATGTGAGCCCTCTGTGTGGCTAATGTTGGTCAGTAGTGGTAGCCAGGCTTGATCTAATTCTGGTCTCAGAGGCATGGAGACTGCTGTTCATACTGTCCATTAGTCCACTGAGTGCATTCTTTCCATGTGTCTGATTTTTGTCACTCTTCTTTCCTCTAGACAGGGAGAGGTCAGTATTGAAGCCCTCGATGGCTACTCGGAGCTTCTCAGACCCCAGACCCCAGTACTCACCAAAGTAAGGTGTAGAACACTCTCTGTGGCCTATGCTATGCCAATTGACTTTGTGTCCTCCCAATGCCATGGTCTTGGGCTCCCAGGTCCAGCCACTCATTTCCTCAAGGTCTTTGGTTATGTAAGACTTAAAGGGAGCAACTTTCATGAATGCATTTTCAATACACAAACCGATAACACACAGTCATATGCTTCCACTCTCCCTCCCACACCGATTAAAGCCAGTGTGTCAGCCCATGCATCTACTGATCATTGTTGCAGGATTTTGTGCGTAACCGTATCTACGTCTGTCTTCATCTCTTGCGCTTCTCCCACTGACTTTGTACACTATAACCACAGCAGGGGAAAAAACGGTAGGGAGAGGACATTTTGTTCTTTACTGCTCACACCCTTTCATGATTAACATAGTGACGGAGCTGAGGGTTGATTATGGTATGCTTGATCGAGCCTGCCCAAAGAGCGTTGTTTTCTAATCTGTTTGACTGATACATGGTAATACAGTGAGTGAGATAGGTGCAGCTCCTGTG